CTCTTTCCTTTTTTCCCCACTTCAATTGGCCTCCTTGCTTCTCTTCATAACAAGTCAACATGGCTGAACGACCAGTAGTTACTCATATATGATATAGCAATCCTAAATAAGCAATAAGCAGAAATTTGGGACTGAAAGTAGGGACTCAAATAGGGACGCATGGGACATATGGGGGAATGAAGGCATGAATATGCTCCAGTTGCTTTCCAGCATATGTTAGTACCATATCATTAAGAGATGAACCAACCATGCTCTCACGTATTGCTTTGACGTTGCAAAGTGTGTGCAAGAGCTTAATTTCTAACTTCAGAATCTCTCCAGTTTGCATTTTTACAGAAATTAGCAACATGTCTTTTGGATTCAACAACATATGAAGGGTCAAACCACCTCGAATGTTGAGGCATTTTACAGTCTGATTATCATCAAGTGGCTTTCCAGCAGAAATCAAAGTGAACTGATCTGAACAGACGCATTCTTTCTCCCTGATATGAGTTTTGATGTTCTGGATGGTATCACTAGGCTTTGCTTCAACAGTAATTGTTTTCTTAGCAGTCGGCATTTTGATAAACAGATTGATAGGTTTATGGACAAAAACTTGGACAGTCGAATTTTTATCGATTCCACAATCTACCAGACTCTGGGCATCCTTGAGATACAAAACTCATGGCATAATTCACACAAAAATGCATTTGAAACAATTAATCGAACACTTGATTTGCACAGTAATTAAAAGGAGTAAAATTTTCTCATAATTCTATACTAAATCTAAATATTCCACAATCAATCTACAAAACCAACATCAACTATGCCCATACTCCCAACAAAACTCAAGAAATTCCAACTATGAGCAAGAATTTTAAGACAAAGAAGAAAAATTTCGAAACCCATAAAGTTGAGCCAATTTACCTTTGATTTCTTGAAATTTTTATGGATGGAAGTGTGAATTTGTGGATGAATGATGTTGGAATATAATTACTCTTCAAAGCCCACTGAAATTTGGAAAAAAAGGGGGATGATGTTGATGAAAAATTTGAAAAAATGGTGAGCGAAGTCGAGTCTTTGTGTGTACGTAATTGAATGGAGTGGGTTTTGGGACGTATAAATTACTGTGATTAGAGGTTTAAATTTATGTTAAGTGCATTAATCTAATTGATTTCTTTTTTAGAGTAGTGAGTCTAATTTTCCCTTGTTAAGCGGGGTCATTACAGGAATATAGAGCACAATTCGAACTCCGCCTCACCATGTATCAGGTTCCAATGTGAGAGATGCTCTTTGAGTTCTAGGCCCTGTATGAGCCGGATTAAAATCTGATTTTAATTTAAGTCAAAATCAAACAATCAATATTAACCATATCTTTCAATGGTCTCACATCTTTTCAATCACACATTTCAAAAACTTCTATCACAATCCACTAAAAATCTAATTTTAATCTCTATCAAACACCTCCTAATTTCTTTTCTTTCGAGTATCATTTTGAGCATGTGAATATACGATTTTGAGCTCCCACTCAAAATTATGTCAAAAATAAAACAATTTTTAACATCCCCAAGGTGAGTGAGAATTTAATTCCAATATGTAGTGTGTAATCGAATTGTTTTTATCGTCTTCTGCCCTTTATGTGCAGGCCGAGAGCTGGATTGATTGTCTATGTCTACCTCTACCATAAATAAAAGAGGCACTTCCTTCGATTTTACCTCCTACACCAAGGCCTAGGGGTGGGTAGGTGTGGGCGCTCATGATGGTGCGTAACCCAAAAAAAAAAAGGCACTTCTTTCTTTACTGTTCATAAGTCGTTAGCCGAGCTGAGCCAAACGGCTTTATGGCTCGACTAATTTTTTTTTTTTTTTGCTTTGATTAGTTTTGTTTACAATCGAGCCAAATGGCTTTATGGCTCAGCTAACTTTTTTTTTTTTTTTTTTACGTTTTATTCAGTATTTTAAGTTACAGATATTCGTTTTAAGTGATTTAGAATTTGTTGAAAACGTTGAAGTGTGGCCATGATAAATATATGATCAATAAATTTTAAATATCAAAATAATTTTACATTAATTGTGAAACGTAAAGTCGTGATTGTTTATATTTCTTTTCAATCCCAACCGCATTCCAATGGCTTTTTTTTTTAAACTTTATTTTCCTACAATTTTTCGTTTGATTCGATATTTCACGATATGAATATCCATTTGGATCGATTTCAAAATTTTAAAAAAAAACTTAAAATGTGATAATAATAAATATATTGTCGATTAAGTTAAAATATGAAAATGGTTTTATGGCTCAGCTTGACTGAACTTTTTTTTTTAACGTTTGATTAATTTTTTTTCAATTTCTTTGGGTTTATTAGTTATTTATTTTGAGTTTTTTTTCTTGTTCTTTTGTTTAAAAATTGATTAGGGATTTATGAAGTAATTGACAATGACTATTCTATCGGGGATTCGTAAGAAGACATTTTTGGATAACTGAGGTTGTGGTGGAAGGTGAGCCTCGATTTCTTCAATAATTGTGGGTGTGATTTTTTTCATCTCCACATTTAATGTTGCCGCGAAATATTTAACAACTTATAAGAAAATTTTATGTAACTAATGTTTAACATAAATATTTTTTTTTATACATACGCTATAACGTAGTCAATTATATCATGGCACGTGCTTTGCATTGTCCACCTAATTTGAACATTCATCCAAATACACTCATCTAATGCTTTAAGGAAAGCTCTCATTCGAACTTTCCAATAAGCATAAATGCTTCCGGTCGTGATGGTGGTTCTGGGCATCAAAAACAGAAAATAGAGTGATCATAATGAGAAAAATAGATAGGGAGATAGCATCATCTCAAGGGGCAAAATCACCTTAGCAATAGAGATGTGAACAGAACCTCTGATTGCCCGCCACTTCATGGAATTTCTGCACTAGAAATTAATAATAAAGTCTTTCGGCGCTCATAGAATAAGAGCCAAACATGTTCACTTAGAGCATACTCGAGCAATTATGCTATGCCACCCTTCTTTATAGACATCTCACAATGGGGGTAGGATTTTTTTGCCTTTTTCATTTGCAGGGGTCCCACAACCCCACTCTCATGTGAGCATAGGTCAAAAGGATGTCAATATTTTTCTAGCAAAGAAGTTTAATTCATTCAAGATATTCTATTTTTAAAGAGAAAATTTTTAAATACTTTTAACACCCTTTTTATCTTTAAATATTCCACTAATTCTCGGAACATCTCTCATCATCAAAATTTAAAAGAAGGATAATTTCTTGAAGGAATAATTCTTCTTCCACCTGTTGCGAGGTTGATCTGTCTTGTACACATGAACAAAACACACGCTTCATCTCTTGAGATGTCTTGTACAAAAGCACACATTTTGCACAAAACACGCACACACTTCACCCTACTGTATCATAGAAAGAACCCTAGTAGTGAGGGTGAAACCTCAATGTAAGAGATTGTTAGAAATATTATATAGCATGCGACTTATATAACAAAATTAAAATGAAGAGAAGGAAATGGCAAATCGAATAAACGCTAAACAAA